TGATCTATGTTCTAAAGATGTTACAGATGAGCGGCACCGTATTGCTCTATGGTAAAAACAAATTTAGGCCACAATGAGTCAGAGGATGTGGGGAACCATGTCTTGTTTTTTTTATAGGTCATTCACACACACGTTGACCCATTTGTCCCAGTTTAAGGTTTTACCGGGTAGGTCTGAGGTCGGCGTGTCAGAAAACACGCCTGTATTTTTTCCTGTGAGCTGGGTTCGGTTTTGAGGTTTCACACCCGTTAACTTTCCATTATGACTCTTAGTTTATTTTGTATTTTTCCATCTCAGCTTATCATGCGATCGATCGAAATAAACAAAACATCAGGAGCGTTTAAAACCAGCTCACGCCTCGACAACACCGTAGAAAGATTTTTATTTCTAAATTGTTTTGCAGAAAAGAAAAGAAAATGTTTCCCTGTGTTTTAATTCCACAGTGTAAAAAAAAAGGTTAAAAAACAGTCATTTACTTCTTGCTTTCTTTTTATTTTACAGTTTTTTTCCTATATGTTTTTCTAAATACACAAATTTGCTGCTCTGACGTCAAAAAACATTAAAATCTGTAAATTACTGTGAATAAAATCTACATTTTTTAATACAAAAATTCTAATTCAACTCTAAGTTATCATGTATTTGTGATAGTTCTCTAATTTTTTGAAAGTTCTGACATTTATCTTGTGTACTTTGTTTCACAACAAAAGTCTTATACTGTGTGAACAATTCTAATGAATATGTGAAGAAATAAGTGTAACTTGGAGGTACTTCACAGCTTTATGCTTCCACTTCTGTTTGTCTCACAGCTTCAGTCACTTCGAAGATTTCACACAGCAGATAAAGAACTGAATTGTGTACTGAGTTCACACTGAACTCTTAACACTGTGGTGAATCGAGATCTTATCTCAACGGCAGCAACATCCACATGTGGTAAAAGGCTGATATCACACAAATGATGTTTAGCTAAAATGCTGAAAAAGCAAAAGACACCAGAACCAAATGAGAGCTTTACGTTACTAACAGGGTTTGCACTCGGGGGGGGGGGGAAGACTGAAACTTGTACACGATATGCAAATTAACTGCCAGATGAATTTTGTCATTACTCGTTAATTTCCTAACTGCTGATGTTTGGAGGAGAAATGAGTTTTGAACGTTTTGCTGGATGACGGTTAATCTGTCGAAATAAAGACAAAAAAGATGACGTTCAGTGTTTGTGTAGGAGCCAAATCTGTATATAAATAATATATTATAGTGTTTCTACCGGTTTGAGTCATGGTTGTGTTTTCTTGCTTTTCTTACTCACTTTGCTGCTGTGACTTCCCCTTGTGGGAAGATTAGCACCTAATAAGAACAAGATTATTCTGACAGTTCTGGTTATTTTTTGAGAACTAACTGGCAGAAACCGATGTCTGTGTGGAGTTCGATATGTGTGTGATTTCACTTATTTCCTGCCCGTGTGGGTTCTGAGGTCAAGCGCAAGAGAAAAAAAAAAAAAAAAAAAGGGAAGAGAGATGAGTTAGTCACAAGTTTGTATGAAGAAGGTTTGAAGTGTGTTGGACGTTGTACAGACAATGTCCTCAGAGAGAAACCTGCTGCCGTTCATAGGATGAATGGAAACTGCATTTCTGGGATCTTTGGACGTCAATAAATCATTTAAACCCAGATCAGCCTTTTTGTGAGTTTGTCGCAGAATGCTGAATTTAAACGATCTTTTCACCTCGTTAGCGTGACTGTATGGTGTCTTCTCCTTAAGATCCTGAGCAACTTAAGCCGTCAACTATTTTGTACCAACGACAGATTCCGGGGAAGCAACGCTGTCAAGTCGTGTCAGTATTTTTTTAGAATCAGCCTCCAATCGTGCTGCAGGCGAGCTGGTGTGCTCGAGCTGACTTCATCGAGCTGCACAACCCAGAAGTGGTTTGAAGTTATTGTTGTGGAAATGCTTCTAAATTTGACACTGAGAGATGAGTTTAACCGACGACTCCTACAGACAGGGCGTCCCGTCGGGTTTCTGGAATCTCTCGACTTATCGTGTAGTTTTTCTGCGGTACAGTGAACACAGGAGTCGGTCCAAATTCGGCGCTGTCTCTTTAAAGTCTTTTTAATCGGCTATAGATACCGTAGGGCTCAGCTGGTGCATTGACCGGCGCGCGGCCACTAAATTTAGCGGTTCCACTCTGTCAATTATTTTGCAAAGCCGCCTCCTGGGAAGCGACTCGACGCGGGCCACATTGTTCTGAAGCCGGCGGCCGCCTCCTCGCGGGCCAGAGGAGCCAATCTCAAAATAAACTAATTTCTATCTCCGAGGGAAATTAAATGGCTCGCACGCCGATGTCGTCCGATTTCAAAACCAACAGACGCTCACAGCGAGCCCACTCGATCTTTTTGAGTCTTAACGGGCTGGTTCTGAGACTCTCTCTCAGGGACCAGATGCAGGCAGCCGACTGTGCGTCTCAACCGCCGTCCATCCCGAGTCCAAACTCTTCTGTGTGCGTTGCCGTGGAAACAGAGCAGCTGTTTGGAGGACAGCTAATCCGGGCATCGTCACATTTCAGGACGCCATAAATAAACATATAGATAATTCTCAAGCGAGAGCAGAGAGAGAGGGGCGACATTTTGGTGACCTCAAACCACTTGGCGGTGTTAAAAGACAGGCTTTTAGCAACGGAAACTTTAATTTCACTCAGAGAAAAAAGGACAAATGTCCTGGATGCAGACAAACAGTAAGGTTTAAGTGAAAATGTGTTGATGTGTTCATCCATTTACAACCTCGCTCATGTCATTAAAAACCAACAGCTCCGGTCCGACGGCTACGACGGTAAATATTCAAGACTCTGAAGATCAGCTGACAGTTAATACTGAAGTGACTCTGAGCAGCAGTAATTGTAAAGAAAACAAAACTCTGAGGTTGATTTAAATTCATTTACGATCATCGCTTATGAAAAATGGCTCGATAGGGGCACCGCTGTAGCTCACCTGACCCCCCATGCACAGGGGCTCTAGTCCCAGATGCAGCGGTTGTGGGTTCGAGTCCAGGTCATGACCCTTTGCTGCAGGTCCTTGCCCCAGTCTTCTCCCCCCACTTTACTGTCTCTCTCTAATAAAGCCAATAAAAGGCCAAAATATATCGTAAGAAAACAAAAAAAAAAGACGTACTGTCAGGAACTAATAATGCAACCAGACATAATAAGGAAACTTCAACAACAGTTTGTATTGAGAACAAAGCAACAGAGAGGTGAAGGTCGGACGTGTGAGTGAACATCTGGATCACACGTCGCTCTAACTTCAGACTGATAACTGGTTTAATGAGGGCTGGCTTTTCTGTGAGGCTTTCTGACAAAACCGTCGACACCGAGGCCTCAGTTATGACTGTTAGCCGGGTGCCACATGCCTCCATGGACCAGACACAGAGGCCGTGATGCCTCTCTGTTCGGTGTCGGGGGGTATTTTTGGCTCCACGTATCACATGTCAGAGGGAATCACTACACGCTGCTACAACAACAACAACGGCTCCATTCCTCCACTCGTAAAAACGACAAACCGTTTCTCTGCCGCGCTAACGAGGCGCCGCTCGGCTGCTGCTCAGCAAACTGTTGCTATGGCAGGAAAGAGCAAACACGCCGGAGGAGCCACGCTTCGATCTTATCCGTGCAGCAACTTTGCAGCGAGGCGGTTTCAGATGTGTACGATGTGCAGGGCAAACACTGTGGCTTCAGAGCTTCCCGCCCAGCGTGAATGTGGTCAGAGTGAGAAAAAAAACAAGAGGCGGGCTGCTTGGAACTGAAAACGAGCTGCCGGTGGGCTGCTGAGCTCCCACTTCCCCCTCCTCACCAGACGGGGTTCATGTTCACTTGATGCTTCGTTTAGCTGTAAAAAATAAAAGCACATTAATGACAACATTATGTAAGATAATGATTATCTCGACCTTTCCATCTCTGCTGCTCGTGCTAACGTTGCATCTGTGCGTCCTGACATTTAGACTGAGAGAGAGTTACATAAATGATGGGAAACCATTTGAACTGTGCTCTTTAACCACTTGCATAGAATAAAGACAAACTTTAACCGTTTTACACTTCACTTTTTGTACCAAATAAACCCAGACGTTAATGAATAAGCTCACAAAGTGCCAGCAGGCTGATGAGATCTTTGGACAGCAGCTGATCCGTTAGACTAAGCAAAGCAGCTGGTTGTTAAATCATAAACGTGGTTAATGTATAACAACAAATAAAAAATAATGTGTTCACCGTCAAGCTTTCACCTTTGAGGAGCTTTGTGTGAAGCTAACCATCTCCTGGCTGCAACCTCATGAGGACTAATAATCAGAAACATCAGCAGTTTCTGTCTCTGTGAAACATCTGCAGGTGGAGCAGCTGCTTGGACTGCAGTGGAGCTAACATCCAGGCCTGAAAGAAACGAGGGTTTCGTCTTGTGCTGCATCATTTTTGAACGTCGTCGTCTAGTGATGCTGAACTACTGCTATAAGAAAATCATAAAAAAATGTGCATTTGTTTGTTCAAAGACAGACCTGTGGTGTGTAGTGGAGCTTGTAGCTGCACGTATTGAGAAGAGTTCTGCTTGAAGGGGAACTAGTGAACTGGTGAACTAGTGATGCTGTGACTTACCAGGTTAATTCTGCTGCTTTTAAAGTGATGAACTGCTGATGTGTTCATAAAACACAGTAAAGTGTGACAGTAAACAACCTGCTGCACACTCTCTTCACCTCCAAACACTCGTAATTTGATTCTAATTCATTTCTCCCCCCAAAAAAACACCAAAAAAAAGCATGACTCATTTTTTTTTTCTATAGAAAGTTTGTGAAGCTCTAATATTGCGACCGTCCTCATATGACAAGGCAGCGAATGCAGCTTTAACCGTTTCACCAACATAACAGCCGACTTGCGCTTCGTGCAACAAACGGACACGTTGCGTCGCCACACCGCTGTTTCCCAATATGTGCTTCCTGACTGTTTCCGTAGCCCCACGACAAAGAACACAGCCGCTCAGTAACAACAGAACGCAGATTTTATTTCCATAAAAAACTTTTTTTCTTCACAAATGTAATGAAAGCGTTTACATCATCATCCCCCTCCACCCCTCCACCCACCCAGCACAGGAACAGTTTGTTGGATCTTTTCAGTGACACGTCGGCTCTACTTCAGCACTCGGTGACCCGGAGACGTTTTTAGCTCCGACGTGTCACCGGCCGGCTGTATATTTGTCTTACGCTGACTCACACACTGTTGACACCCGAATGTGCCGCCTCTGTCTCACATCAGCGTCTCTTTTTGAAACGCAGACCTCCTGTAGGTCTGTGATCGTTATTTTTGACTCTAGCTAAATAGGTTATTACACATTTTGGCAAGCCTTCTGTTTACTCCAGTGGTGGAAGAGTGCAAAAATCAAAGGTGATGAGGAGGTGTGGTTCTGAACAACTGGCTGAGATGAAAAGCTGTGAGAGGACTGGCTTTGAGCTGGACCGACATGTAAACTGCATCTCCTCAGAACCTTTTTTCACATTGTACTGTCAATGCAGAGCCAGTGTTGCGGCGCTTTTCGACCACGGAGACGTGACATGTGGCGATCTCACACCAACACAGTGCTTTGACACGGATGTCCGACTGAAAGGACTGAGGTAATATTCGCAGCAATGATCCTCATTTTATTACGACTTACAGTATGACACACACTCTCGCTCTCGCTGTCACGCACTGACACACACACACACACACCTGACTAATACTACAAAAAGGCAGCTTTGCAGGGGTAGGTGTCCGTGTAGTAGGGTTTGCACAGCAGAGCCATTTTCACGGCGGTGCAGTACAGCCTCCCCAACAGTCCTGAGGCCCTGCGCTTCACCTGCGGGTGCGTCGCTGCCTTCCACAGGTCGTGAATGTCCTCTACGTGGCCGTGCGACGTCATCATCTGGTCGTAGATGCACAGGTGGTACGGCGCCTTGCCCTCTCCTGAGAAGTAGACGTGCTCCTGTGGCGACACGCCGATGGCGTTGGCGCAGATGCCCATGAACACGTCGTCTATGTGAAGCGAGGCGTTCAGGGTCAGCGTGGCGTGGTAGATTCTGTCTGCCACGTCGCTGGAGACCACGTAGCCCGCCCCGGCCGTGTAGTCGGGGTAAGACAGCCACTGGTACATGTCAAAAGGAACATAGTATTTGCTGTCCTTGCTGCGGATGGGCGGCGCCCCTCGGTGCACTCGTCCGATCCAGAAGTCTGTGATGCCCTTGCTGCTCACGTCCTGCAGGTAGCTCACCAGGTTGGGCATGTGGATGAAAATGTCGTCGTCGGCGGTCATGAAGAAACGTGCGTGTGCGCAGCGTTTGTGCATCCAGTGAAACTGCAGGATCAGCTTCAGGGTCAGGTTGTGGAAGGAGTCTAGAAAGTCTTGCTGGATCAAGTCGCCATAGACATGATCCTCCTGGACGAGCTGCTCCTGGAAGCCCACGCCGCTCCTCTTGCTCCACGAGGGCTCCTCCTTCTTGGTCTGGATTGCTCCCAAAGCGAACACCACCTTGACCGTCACTCCCAGCGTGTTTCTGATGTAGGTCTCGTTGCCCCAGGTGGATCTGATGGCGTTTCGCCTCTCAATATTCTCTGGGGACGTCTTAACGAAGAGCAGGAGGAGGACGTCCTCGTTGATGCACTTGTCAGGGTGGTCCAGCAGGTAGGGGAAGCTGCTGAAGCTTCTGGCCTGCTCACGTGAGATGGTGAGGCTCTTGTTGATGTAGGTGAAACGATTGACCAGGTAGCGGTACGAGTACGACTTGACGTGGCTCACAACGTTGTTGTCCAGCTGCTCCCAGCAGACCATCACCACCGACAGCACCAGGCACGTGGTCATCAGCTGCACACACTGGCATTTTCGTATCCGGCGGAAATTCACAAACATCCTGGAATCTGGTCACCCGGTGGCGGTGGTCCCTGTCTGGTTGGAGATGGAGGTGAAGCAGTGGAGTGTGCCGGTGTGTTTGACGGAGGTGAGATCACAGAGGTTGAGAGAGTTGTTCCAGTGCCTCAGAGCAGCGTTTGCTGGGTCTTCCATCCTAGGCTGTCCACATTCAGCAGGAGGCATGGGCAGTGGAGGGAGTCACTGGGCCTGCTGGGAAACATCCTCCATCGCAGCAGAGTCACTCACAAAGCCAGAGTCACCCAGCAGCCGGAGAGTCATCTTTCATCCATGAATCCTCTGGTTCTGTGAAAAGGAAAGCACAGTTACAGCCGTGACTTCTTCAAATTCTTGTAACACGTTGGTGGGAACACAAAAGTGGAACTACTGCTTCCTTTATTTTATTTAAAGCAAAAAAAGGAAGATGGGGAAATGCAGATAAAGGATTTGCTCAACATCTTATTGCCCAATATATTCCCTTTCTGGAAGTGTGATACAAATGTTGAGCCTTTGGTTTCAGCACCTATGTTTCCTGTGTCGCCTCGAGCAGGATTTCTATGTGCAACTGAAACTTTTAATTACGCCAGGACGCCACCAAAAAATGCAATTTCGTTATTAACAGAAGCAATTCTCTGTCAGTGAAGAATGTCGACACTAAGACCACCATATCCTCGTGTGTCAGCCTACCTGCATGAGCGAAACTACACTAAATGGAAACTTTCATCTTGTGGTTGCATCTGAACTTTGCGTGCGCCTACACCCACTTGTGTGTAGTGTTCTGTGCAGGAATAGTAACGTTAGCTGAAACGTGGGGTGGGGTAACAGAGGGGGGGAGAGGGTTCGCTGAATGCAAAAGCCAACACAGCAAATGCTGCAATACAAGCTCGCCCATAATGGAGGGGTTTAAGGCGCAGACCCACTGAAATCGCTGAGAGTCATGGAAAGCATTTGGACACAATGGACGGTGTCAGAATAGCTCGGCAGCACAAAGCGGGACGAGAATAGCCTGCTTCCGTCTGGGCCCGGGCTAAAACCAAGGGGGGATCATGATGGGCCCGGGGCCTGGGACTCCCACTGCGCCACGGGAGCTTTTTAAACATCACTGGATGGCCCGAGCCTAATGGGGTCACTGGCTCAGAATGGCTCTCCTTTCTCTCTGCCTGATAATGAGACACTCTGGCTCACCTCTGATTCACGACACAAACGCTTCCCACCGCGCGGCACTCCCTGCTTTACAGCCGAGCCGACGTTAAACATGTCAGTCGGTTTTTATTACATGACTCTCAGCAGCCAGTTGGAAACGGGTACTATAAAGGCCAGCATGGAGACAAGCGTGCATACCTGTGGAACATGTCAGCAGTCGAGTGTAACGGGGCGGGAAAACAGTGATGCTTCATTTTATTCACAACAGAATGCTTCCTATTGACTGCGGCGTAAACAAGCCACGCAGAGAAGTTTTTATGCTCCTGGATCTAAACACAACAATAAAGGAATCGCTCTGTACATGGTTCAGGGATGAGTCGTTGCCAGGTGGCAGGCAGACGGAAACGGTTAGCAAAGGCCATTTCTGGGAAAACAAGTTGGGGAAGGAAACCCTTCAGAAACACGGACGGCTGGCGCTAAAGCTCAATGAGAAATTGTGGTTTTTTTTTTCTGTTTGTGTCTCTGAAGGGAGCTGGCCTTTTAAGGAAGAAACACATCCAGCTGTCGGGCCACATAACACACCTTCTTCTGCTGACTGTCGTACACACCAGATTACAGTCAATCAGAAAGTGGAAATAAACTTCTGATAAACTTCTGAAAGCATCCAGACTGTTTTGTCCTATCTCTCTGCTCTGGCCGCGGCTGCTTCAGCTTTAATGTGCTTTCGGATTATTGACCGAAGGTGTTAGCGCTGTCATGTTGGTTAAACATGCCGCGTGGACTCGGCCCTCGCGCTTCTATCTCGGCTGCATCTAAAACAAGCGCCGCGAAAGTGAACCACCCCACGAGCATATTTTGAAAGTCACCATTTGTATAAATAGACTTGAAGCACAGAAGCAGAGTGAGAGGGAGGGGAGCAGAGAAAAAAAAACAACATCACACTATCACTCAAAGATTCATTCCAACGCTCACCGGCAAAGAAGAATATCTGCGCATGAATCCAGCAAGTCTTCTTTCCCTTGCCGAGCCGCCTTCTGGGCTGCTTGGAAGTTTTTACTTTTCCTTCAGGTGACAGGAGGCGAAACGCTTGTCAGAGTCAGTCCTCAGTGAGACAGTCGGAGGCTCTGTGTGGAGCAACAGTGTGTGTCTGTGCGGGCAAAGAGCTGTCAAGTGGTGTGAGAGTGTGTTTTCTTCTGATCCTTCTGCTGGCCTGAGTGTGTAGACTGTAAGTTGCTTGTAAATGAGCCGGTTGCCTTGGCTCTGGTGTCTCCCCTCCCTCACTCGTTCCCTCCCTCCCTCCTCCCTTCCTATCAGTGCAGTCTGTGTCGGTGGTAGTAGAGCAGAGGGAGGACGTCATGAGAGAAAGTTCAGCCCCGTCCCTCATCTCTGTGCTCAGACACCAGAAAAGGTGGAATAGGGGCAGAATCTTTATCTGATGTGAAGCCTTACTGTCAGAACTGCCCACAGAAGTGACACATGGTGTTTGCACTCTGCTCAGAAGTGCCAGCCGAGGCCGAAGCAGACCGTGGCTTCTCCCCCTGTGCTGGCGACCGTCTTTTTGAGCTTTTGACTGGATTTTGGGTGATTTGACTACCACTGCTACCTTTGATTTAAATAACTTTGCATTGTAGCAAGGACATTCAAAGCGTCCTCCAAACCTTCACGGAGAATTTCCTGGATTTCTGGTACATTTAAGTTCTGACAGACACCTTCTATCTCTTCACTTTTGGGTGATGAATCAGCTACATGCCCTCTAGACTGTAACGCACATGACTGTGAAAACGCTTCCATGTAAGTGTTTGTCTTAAAAGGCTCCCTTCGCGACACATAATTCTGGCACCTGATTCTGATCAGGTTCTACAGGGATCCAGATAGGGCTGGGCCATATCATACTATGCACAGTAATACTGGTGTAATGTTAGGGGATGAGCCATCCATCATCTCTACA